TATGTCAGATGAAGCCCCAGAATCCTTGCCTCCAAGGAGTAGCTTGGTTTAATCCTCTCCAAGATGAATCTGTTTGTTTTCCTGGCAGCCCATGGTTTAGATTGTTTTATTTTGTCACAGGAAAACATTGATAAAATTAGTTTTTAATTACAGTGGAATTAACATCTTTTTTGACATTATACTTATTTCTAAAATTTATCAGTTATGTATGATAAATTGTTGTGTGCCCTGAAATTGGAACCAAGTGGTGGCTGGCCCACCAGGGTGTTTCAGAGGCAGTAAACTGCACAGGAGGAGATTGCCCATCCTTCTTGTACAAAGCAGCTGGTGGATTTGAACCACGTGCCTGTGGAATTGCAGCACAGCCTATTACCGCTCGACCACCAGACATGGAGTCATTGTTTTTCACAGAGACAGCCACATTGCTGTGTGGTGTTGGTTTGCTCTCTCCATGGGATTATTGTCATATCTAAAAATGATTTAAGCTCTCTTTACAGCTGCTGTCACAGGGGCTCGAACTCGATTGGGGTTGTGAGGACAGAGGTCCCATCTGCTCCTGGGGTGGCCATGAGGGGCATTGACTCTGGGACACCCAGCACCACAGCGTGCTAACCGTTAACTTCTTTAGGCTTTACAGTTCTGCAGTTAACAGGTTAACGTTCATATGGTTCGCTGCACCCTGTATGCGGTCTTTGATATGGAGATTGCTGTCTACGTGTACTTTGTTTTCCATTTTTATAATGTTAAAAAATTCATTCTGTTTCTCACTGACCTTCAAATTTTCACCACAAAGAAAGTAGGGTCCCCTGTTTTTCCTGCCAGCTCTTTTTCCTGTATTTTTGGTAATTGGAAATTCAACTAATTGTTAAGTTGAAAATACAATTAGCAGTTTCATAGTCCTGGTTGATAAATGTTTATAATCTGTCCTATGATCATAATTGAGTCTTCTGTGCTTTTGTAGATGACTCTAAAAGTTCAGAACAGTTTGCTTGATTATAGATGGATCGGTTTTATTGCCCAGAAGGCAAGGCTCATATCTGTTGCCCAGGGGTTGCTCTAAGTCATGGTCCACTTGACGACAGACACCTCATAGCCACAGTGCAGACCAAGAGTGCGTTATATTTCCTTCACTACTGTCCCAGAGCTGCAAGCCGACTACTGTGTGAGGTTGTGGCGTCAAAGCCAGTTGATTCTCCCTTCATTCCTTGCCCAACTGGAAACAACTAGAAACACTGCCTTTCTTATTTTTGTGTTCAGACCCTGATTTCTCCCGAGCAGGGTCAGTCTCCGGTCCTTTGTTTTTCCTTTGGAGAAGTGGGTTCAGGCCTGCATGGGGCTGAGTGGTGTAGAGATTGCTAGCTTTCCTCTTGGGATGTCTTCCTTCCTCGTGGCATCCTGGATGTGACCCGCCGTGGTGCGTGCTCTGGACCTTGCTTGCCGAGTGCCTGGGGTGTGTCCTCCAGACACAGCACTGAGCCTTGACTCTGCTGTCTCTGTCTGTGTTTGTAAGTTTCACTCTCTTTAGTCTGATTGAAGCAGAAACTGTTTATTCAAGGATTTGACCTAGATTCCTGGCCCACCCTAGGACTCCAGGACAAGGGTGGGCTGCCAGGTGGCTCATCTGCCAGAAGGGCACAAATGAGAGTGCCTGAGCCGGTGTTTGGTGGAAAGACAGAAAGGTCCAGGCACGTCCACTGTGGCTGCACTCAGCTCTTGCTGTCACTGTCCCCTGCGCATGCTTGTCGAAGGGACACCTGCAAGGCCGGATTGTGGGCTCCTAGATTTTTAAAGTTGGCTACGTGGTCACCCAGTTCCTGTGTGGGTCTTCCAACCTGTCCAGGTGCTGTGTCTCGGCGGACCCGCACATGTGGGCACTCAGTACATGCCCAGTGCGTCCCGGTCCGGTGGTGAGTGGCTCTTGCTTTCCCATGTGTGACCTCCTCCTTTGCCTGCCGCCGTCCTCGGCTGGCCTGGCCTGATTCCTCGATGTCCTGAGGGAGGATGCGGCCTCTCACTGGGCCTCCTGCTTCCTCAGCATCTCAGCACCCTCCTCTTCCTGTGACGTTGGTGAAGAAGAGAGTTGACAGAATTCCTCAGAGCCGAGTCATCGCAGTCCAGATCACCTTCATTCAGCCCCAGGCCGCTGTGGCAGTCGATGGTGGCCTCCCAGTCCAGGTTGTGGGTCTGGTGGTCCTGCGAGGGGGACGCAGCGTGGAAGAGGGCCAGTGGTGGAGTGACGTCTGACGGTGTGGCCGTCAGGAGGGGCCAGGGGACAGGCTCTGTGTGCCCAGTGTGAGAAGAGCATGGCGGGCGCCTGATCCTGTTCACCTGGCGGCTCTGCAGGCCATTGGCCTTGTGTGGCTAGGAAGGACTTTGGTCCATATGCCAGTGACCATTTACCTGTAGAATTTCATTCTTAACTCGGAGGGGCTGGCTCAGTTCCAGTATTGCTGAAAATAATCCGATTCCAGTCTGATTCTTTAAAAAAGCCAGATCTTGTCCCTGGTTGATGCCACTTCATAGCAGCTGTGTAGGACAGAGGAGAGTGGCCTAGTAGGGTTTCTTGTAAGTGCCTGGCACGGCTTTGGCCCCCGGAGTAGCAGGTGGGTTCCAGCAGCCCAGTTTTCACTTGGCAGCAGAGCACACGCCACGTGCCTCCTTTCCCTCCTTGCTGTGTTAGTGCCCCTGAGCCGGCCCAGTGTTTAGCAGCCCCGTGCCATCCTCAGTCAGTGCTGTGCCCAGGCTGCTGCGGAGGCTGCCCGCCTGCGTAACCGAGGGGCCACCTCTTCAGCCTCCCTTTCCAGGCCCTGGTCTTTCTTCAGGGACAGGCCCCTTCTGCTGTCACGCCCAGGGTCTTCTCTGGAAAACTGCTTTCCTTTCTCAGGACCTTTGCCTAAGCTCTGGCCTTTTCTGGGACCCAGTGATTCCTTGAGGATTTGCCTGGGCTGGTCTTGTGCTGGGTTCCCTGTGCCGGGTCCCCTATGCCAAATCTCCTGTGCCGCCTGGTCCCTTGTGCTGGGTCTCCTGTGCTGAGTCCCTTGTGCCGGGTGCCTTGTGCCGGTTGGAGGTGTGGGGGCCCCTGCGTGGGTCCTGGCAGGCTGGCTGACTTTGGTTTTTGACGCTCGGGTCTCAGCTGTCACTGTGACTTGTGTTGCAGGTGTGGCGGCCTACGTGGGCTGGCAGAGCTCCTCGATCCTCAAGCCCCTGCTGCAGCAAGGCCTCAGCGATGCGGAGGAGTTTGTCATCGTCAAGGGCCTCAGCGCCCTCACCTGCATGTGTCAGCTCGGCCTGCTGCAGAAGCCGCACGTCTACGAGTTTGCCAGCGACATCGGTGAGCCGGCCCCTCGCAGCCGGGGCCTGGGAGGGAGAGCAGACTGCTGCACGCTCCCTGTCCTTGTCAGCGGTGGCTGTTCATCCACAGAGCGTCACGTCACTGTTGACATGTTTTATGTTTCTGTTTGGTGACGTGGGTGCAGCCTCCGCAGGACATGAACACCCCACCCCCCTCTGCCCCTTCTCCTGTTTCATGTGACGTGGGGTGCAACCTCCCCGGAACACCCACAGCCCTCCCCTCTGCCCGTTCCCCTTGCTTTTGCCCCGTCTTCCCCGCTCAGCTCTGTGTGTCCGTGTTCAGTGTGTCCGGCGTGTGCCGTGTGTGGTGCTTGACTGTCCTGCGGGCCCGTGTTCTGAGGAGCTCACTCACACGGGTGTCAGTTGGTGGAGAAGTGACCTGTGGGAGGATCCATCCCAGGCCGTAATCTGGGAAGTTCTCGTGGCTCTGGGAGCTTTGTCGGGATTCCAGGCTGTGGAGTCAGGATTTGAGCTCGTCGTTACGGGTTAGGGATGTGTGTGTGTGTGTGCGCGCGCGCGTGCGCGCGCGTGCGCGCACCTGCCTGTGGACGCACATGTGCGGTAGAGCTGTGCGTATGGGAGAGACACAGGCAGATGGGAGATTTGAGTTCGTCCCTGCCAGGGAGCAGAGGAGTCTCTCTGTGTGTCTGTCTGTCCAGTGGTTCTGCACTGATGGGAGAGACATAGGCAGATGGGATGGGTGGGTCTTCCAGCCCAGGTGGGCATTTTACTTGGAAGTAGATTTCTAGTTGTTTTTTAAATGGTACCGATAAGGGTATGACTGCTCTGAAGACGGAACTTATTTGGATCGTTACCGTTAGTGGAGTTGACATGACAGGTGGAGGGTCAGCTGTGACCAGTGTGGCTGCGCGGGTGGCTGGCTGCGATGTAGACAGGAAAGCTACTCTTGATAGTAACTTTATAACCGGAAGAGGGAAAGAATTCCTTGATGTTGCTCACACTTTCCCATTCCACTGACAGGTAAACGTTTAGAGCAAGACCAAACAGGAAGATGGGGAAAATTTCAAAGGCAGACTCCCTGGGACAAGTGTAGCTTCCCTGTCGCCTCATCTTTAGAAGGCACTGGGGGTCACCCCTTGGTTCTGTGCTGAAGGCACTGGACACCTTAGACGGGCGTGTCTTGGTGTAAACTGGTTAGTTGTGACTAAATGCTTTACCAAGTCAAGTTAGTAGAAAGTGAGGACTGAAGGTGACCTGTTGGCTGTCCCCGTGGCCTCCTGTGGGTTGTGAGGACGAGGGGTTGGGTTGATGGCAGCTGTGTGATTTTAGGTCCTGGCTGGTTGAGCACCTTTTCATGTGCTTACTGGTCATTTCAATGTCTTTTAGTGTAGTGTCTTTGCTTATTTAATGATTGGGCTGTTTACCTTTTTGTTGTTAATTTAATACTATTTTGGATCATTTCATAAGCTTTTAATATCTCTTTAGCATAGTTACACAGCTTTATCCAGTGCTGCTCTTGTTATGTGCCATTGAGTTGTCTGTGACTCCTAGCAACCCTTTATGTACAACAGCCCTAAACTCTGCTCTGTCCTGTGCTAACCTTATTGTCTTTGACGCAACTACTACTGTTACCCTAGTCACTGAATCAGTCCATCTCATTGAGAGTCTTCCTCTCCTGCACTGTCCCTCCACCCTCCCAATCATGACTTCCAAGGACTGGTCCCTCCTTGCTACATGTCCAGAGTATATCAGATGTAACCTAAGAATCCTCGCCTCCAAGGAGCAGCCTGGTTTTACCTTGTCTAGGATGAACCTGTTTGTTTTCTTAGCAGTCCATGGTATATTCAGCACTCTTTTCTAGCATCACAACTCGGAGGCATCAATTCTCCTTCTGTCCTTTTTAGTCATTGTCCAGCTCTCTGATGCATAGCAAGTGATTGCAGAGACCATGGCCTATATCAGGTGCACCTTAGTCTCCAGAGTGACATCGTTTTCTCACAGTCAGTAGTTAATTTTTTTCACTGTGCCAGTACCAAAGTTTGATGAAACAAAGTAGCTTATACAGCTCCATTTATCGGTTTTGATTTTTTGCTGTGTATGCTTTGCTTGTTGTACCTGGTAATCCACCATTCAACCCTGCAGCCCAGGTTTTTTTCCAGGAATTTTGTAATTTTAGTTTTCACATTAAATTATTTGATCCTTTTTGAGTTGACTTTGTGTTAGGTGTAAATTATGGATGCTGCCTGTGTAAACCTGGTTTTCTTGCATCATTCAGTAAAGGACTGTTACCGTCCCTTTGAATGGAGTTTGAACTCTTGTCGAGTATCAGTTGACCATAGATGAGTGGACTGCATTTTGGACTCTCAGCTCTGCTTCTTTGTCTGTATGTTTTTTTCCTATGTTAGTACAAAGTTAAAAAAATGAACCCCATTATTTTTACATGAAATTCATGATTATTCTGTTTTCTCTGATCCACGGTTCTTAATGATATTCTTTATAGAAGCCTGTCAGTGGCCTGGTCTTCTGTGGGGCCCTGGGTGGGTCAGACGTTAGCCTCCAGGTTATCGCTTGCGTGCAGCGCAGGCCTCCCGTCCTTGGTGCCTGACAATTTCCGTTACCTTACCATGTATTTATAGTAGGTTTTGAAGTCACAGACATTCAAATCATCTGTTTTACTTTTTCTTCTCTCATTCTTCTGTAAATCTGTGGATTTGAATGGCATCTCTTCTCCTCTGCCCAGCTCCCTTCCTGTGCCATCCCAATCTGTGGATAAGATACGGTGCCGTGGGATTCATAACAGTGGTCGCCCATCAGATCAGCACAGCTGATGTGTACTGCAAGCTGATGCCTTACCTGAACCCGTACATCACCCAGCCCATCATTCAGGTACATCATCCAGAGTGCAGCCTGGCTCCCTCCTCACTGCACAGCCCTCTCAGATGTGTTTACAAGGTCCTTTTTACTTTAACATTTCAGAGTTTAAAATTAGGCTATGACACTTTCATGCTAAATGTTACTAGACCAAATACCTTTGAAGGTGAGAAGAATCTAAGAGAACATCGTACGATATGTTACATCGCGTGTAATTTAGCACTGGGAAAGTAGCTTATAATTTATATTGTTTTGTATAATATTCTGAAGCATCTGCGATTCAGTTGTAGTCTATTAAAGTCTGTATTGATGGACTCCTGCTTTTATTGGAAAAAGATTCCTACTTTCAGTCAAAGTCAGCATTTAGAATAAATTAGAAAAAAGCTTTCTCAATTAATGAATTCATTAATTAATTACCAGCTAGTTTTAGGTTAATTTTTAAAGAATACCTTTTGGACCCTCTACCTCCCAGCAGTTTTTATCACAGCGATAAACTTTGGGTTTTTGATTTATATAAGGCAAAAATCAGTCACCCAGCTTATAGCTGTATATGGTCTTCATCTAATTTGACAGTGCCTTCAAAACAGTATTTAAACTGAGTGGGTGATGAAAGGAGATCCTGGCTGTCCCAGCGTGTCTTTCCCCTCTACCCACTGCCCGCCCTGTTTTACCTGCAGCCCCTGGGCCTCCCCGGCCTCTCCTGCCTTTGTGGCCCAGCGTACCCCTCCTTCTGTTAGGACAGAGCCTGGGAAATCTTCCAGGAACGCGAGTCGGTGGTCATGCCTGCAGCCTGTGCTCCCCCCTTAGGCCTGCCATTCCCTGGAGAATCATTCTTTTTAAGAGTTTGAGGAATTATTCCATTTTTTAAGCACCAAGAATAATTTTTATACACACACACACACACACACACACACACACACACACACACAAATGATTTATATATACAGATACATGAAAGATGGCTATTACTTCCGAAGAATAAGCTTTTTGATGTTTTTCAACTTTCTTGGAAAAAAGGCCTATATATATTTGTGTGTGTGTGTATATATATTTCTATTTATAAGTTTATTTACTAAGCTTTATAACGTAATGTATAAAAACTGTCTCTGGGATTTAGAAATTGGGTACATTTTTGAGCGTTAGTGGTGGTTCACTATAATAAATGTGACACCCATGTGGTTTGTTGGAAGTCTGCACCAAGGAGAGGCTCTGGTTTTCCTGGAATTGAAAGGTTCTCTTTGTTGTATATTTAGAAAGGCCAGGATCATAAATGTGAAGGCTCAGATTTATGAAAGCTTTGCTTCCCACATCTCCAGTCCACAGTTTCAGTCACAGACAAAAGATAGCCTTTCATTTGAGAAGGTTTTATGTTTGTCAAAAAGATAAATCCCCACTGGCAGGCTCCCTCGGAGCTTACACCTGGAGCAGGTCCCCTTAGATCCGGTTAGAGCTCTCTGTAGTGTGTGCGTGTTATTGAGGACAGGATTCTGAGGATAAGAAAGAAAGGGTTCTATGAACTTGAGTGGGCAGAGCAGTGCTTGTTGAAAGCAGGCATCTACTGGTGGATTGATGATTTAGGGAAACGGAAGCATCTTTTCTGGGTCAGCACCTGTGAAATCAGCCACTTTTAAATCCTGCTACGTTGTCTGCCATTTTAGGATCTAGAAAAAGGCTGGGCTTTGTTTTCTAAAAGTTTCTTGCCTCGATACTTACTACTAGTTTTCTGATGTGGTATACATAGATGTATATTCTGATGTTAATTAAAAGTATAATAACTTTTCCCTTTAAAGTGCAGTAATTTTTTAAAATTTTTAAACAAAACTGCCAGTGTTGCCATTCCTGCGCCTGTTTTCTTAGTAATAAGGATCCTCTTTTAGCTTGGTAGATTGCATTATTTGATTTTGAAAAGAAAGCAATTCTGCATCTTTGGCTGACAGTTTTTCTTTTTCTCTCCCGTAGATTGAAAGGAAACTTGTCCTCCTCAGTGTTCTGAAGGAGCCAGTGAGTCGCTCCATATTCGATTATGCTCTGAGGTCCAAAGATATAACCAGCTTGTTCAGACATCTTCAGATGCGGCAGAAGAAACGGACGGGGTCCATTCCCGACTGCCCACCGCCCGAGGACCCTGCCATCGCACAGCTGCTGAAGAAGTTACTCTCTCAGGTGCGTCTCCTTTCCAACATCTCACCTTTACGTGAAGCTCGTGCGTCTCCTTTTCAACATCTTACCTTTCTTTACGTGAAGCTCTGATGGAAACTGCAGCTTCCATCTAGTCATTGAAAAGTGTGTGAAGTGTGTGGTTGCTGAGGAAGGACACCCGGCAGACTGGTGTCTCTGGCAGTGTTGGTGACTGTGGAGGCCTGCTGAGCTGGTTCTATGATGACTCGCTGTGTAAATAAGGGTACGACAGTAAATACAACCTTAGGTTAAGTGATGCTCGTTGCCACAGTTCATCACAGACGTCCCTGAGTTCCTGCACTGCCGGTGCCAGCGGCAGAGCCCTGGACCCTCGAGCCCATCGTTGATGGGGCGCTCGCACCGGGCAGACAGCTGGAGTATCTGGGTCGTACATGTACTGTGCGTTAGACTGAGCAAACCAGCGGCTTCCTGCTGCGTCTTAAAGTCTTCGAATGTAGCCGAATTACCAAGTGCCATCAGAACTAGCATTGGCAGAGCCTTCCTATCTGGTAAAAAAAACCTTTCTACCTACTTTCTTATAAGATCAAGCCTTTTTAGAAATCTTAAGTCCAGGTTGATTATTTTGTTTTAAGAGGGATGTGTGGAATCCAAAGTGGTCAGGGTAAGAATAAAAATGGTTAGAAATCAAGTTTCTGAGGAAAAGCCCCATGAGCCCAAGACAGATGCTGAGGGCTCGTTTTTGTGGTTTTCTCAAAGTCTGCAAAAGGGTTTGTAACAGGAGGGCTTGATGGTCAACGTGTGTCCAGTGAGAAGCGGAGGTGCAGAGAACTTGATCTGTCAGTGGTCGGGAGTCCTGCCACGGGCTCTGCGTGCCCTGAGTGCCAAGTTTGAGCCGGGCATGGCTGCTGGCATGCTGGAAGCTGGTCGATCCAGCTTTGGTTCTGGTGGGTCCAGTTCTGCCTGAGGCCGAGGTTGCCTCTGAATGCCCCTTCCAGGCCAGTGGGCTTGTTGCCTGGATGCTGGAAGGCTTAATTTGATGTGACATGAATTGCCCAGGGGCTTTTACTGCGAGTTTTATTTTCACTTTGACTCAAGGAAAAAACCAAAACTGATTGTTGAGTTGATCCCAGTTCCAAGCCACCCTGAGGCCGGAGTTGAAGGGTCCACAGACTTCCAAGAGGACTTTGGCTTTTACAGAAGTGGACTGCACATGTCCTCCCCCAGGGTGGTCAGTGGTTCTGACTGCTCGCCTGGTGCACGGCAGACACGCATGAACCACTGCACCACCAGGCTCCAGCCTGGTTCACACATACATACATTTTAGAAAGCTCCAGGAAATTGACTATTTTTTTTTTGTTAAATTTTATTATTTTTGTGTGAGTGTGCCGTCAAATCAGATCTGACTGGTACAGGAGGAGATTGTCCCTCCTTCCCCGGCAGAGCATCTGGTGGATTCGAACCATGCGCCTCTGGAATTGTAGTTGCAGCTCTTTGCCACTAGGCCACCAGAGCTCCCTGAAATTGACTATTGAGTTATGTTTTTCTCTGTTGTTTCCTCTGAATAAGTGATCTTAAAAAAAAAAAATCCAGCATGTAATGAAAATGAACCCAATCTATTTTGGCGAAAACACATATAGCCGTTTACTGTCTTCAACACTTTGTACATGTACCACCAAGTGACGCTGCTTCTTAGGGAGAACACGTTCAGTTCCCGACAACAGCCCTGGCGCATGCACGTGGCACGTTCTTGGTACGGGAGTTGACCCTGCTTACACTCCAGGTTCCCTGGGCTCCTGTGTCCACACGTGGCCAGGCTGCCTCAGACCTGCCACCTCCCGCGATCCCTGCTGTACGTGTACCCACTGCATCAGGTGTCTGCACAGAATACAGAGCGATTACTTCCTTCTCTGCACATTTGACAAGGACTGGACGTTTTAAACACACTCGTAATTGTCACTTTAGTCTTTTTTGATGGAGTAGTGAACACCAGCCAAAGGTGAGAAGGTAGAGAGTTAGAGACAGGAAGACGTAGGCTTCCCTTCCGTCTCTGATCCCAGGGCCCCGTTGTTCTTCCTCAGGCCGTGTCCACGTGAATGGACCTGAAATCCACTCAGCAGGCCACCAGTCTTCGCTGCCTGGCCCCCGTTTGTTTTCTCCCTCAAGGCAGCGTGATTTTGAAGTTCTCTGTTCAGGGTTGTGGGACGTGGTCAGTGGATGACGTGGAATTCCTTTCGTCTTTAACCTGAGCTGTTGTAGTTACTGTATTTGAAATCCCTGGGGTCCTTCTGACAGGTCCAGAGCAACCTTGGGTTCCTGGCCAGTTTAGCAGCATTTTCTAAAGGACTGTGAGACTGCACCTGGTGCCCTGTGGACCAATTAGCAGCTCTTTCCGCTCTGCCTGGGGTGGTGTGAACAGTTCTCACCCCATTTACGCCCCAGAGATTGCTTGCCCTGCTGTGTCCTGGTCAGCTGCTGTCAGGCCGTGGATAGTGTCTTACACACCACTCAGTGCTGGGTCAGAGACGTAAGGAGTTGCTCCTTAGCCAGCTCTCTGTGCGGATCACCCTTTCCAGTCTTCTGCCTACAGATCCTGTCATCTTGGTCCCCTGAGCTCTCCTGACTCTCTCTCCAGCTCAGCTCTACGGCCAACCCTAGTCCTCAGCTGTAGCCATGGCCCTGGAAATGCTCCCTGTGCTGTGTGCTGGGGACAGTCACGGGAGTCCCCGGCCTGACAGCCTCTGTCCAGCGCTCCAGCCGCCATGCCTCCTGTCCTTCACAGCTTCATAGTTGTTGAGGGTGGGTGAGAGGTCTGGTGGCTGCCGCTCCATTGTAGCTGGAAGCATGTGTCTGTGGACGTGTTACGGACCTGCACCCTCCTGGTATCACTTGCAAGTAAACACTTGCTGAAGATCGTCTGCAAATGGCTAGAACAGCCATTGAAAGGGAACTGCCAGAAATTTCAGGCTGAATTTAGAAGAGGATAGCATTGCTGAAATCAGGTGGACCTGGCTGAAAGCAGAGAATATCCGAAGAATGTCTGTTTTATTGACAGTGCAGAGACATTTGAGTGTGTGCATCATAGCAAACTACGACTAACATTGAGAAGAGTGGAAGTCCCTGAACACTTTAACTGAGCTCCAGTGAAACCTAGGCCAAGAGGCTGTAGTCCAAACAGAACAAGGGAATATGACAAAGATGTGTGTCAGGACTGTATCCCTTCTCCACTTATTAAATCTGTGTGCAAAACAAGTAATTTGAGAAAATGAACTATGTGAAGAAGAATATAACATGAGGATTATTGGAAGACTCCTCAGTAGCCTGCATTATGCAGATGGCACAACCTTGCTTGCTGAAAGTGAGGAACACTTGAAACACTTGCTGTAGAAGATCAGTGACTACAGCCTTCAGAATGGATTGCATCTCAGCATCAGGAAGACAGAATCCCTCACCACTGGGTGAGGCAACATCATGGTAGATGGGGAAGAAGTAGAAATTGTCGGCGATTTAATCTTGCTTGGATCCACACTGAATAAATACCCTTGGCACCAGCAGCCAGGAAATGAAAAGACATATTGGGCAAGTTTGCCATCAGAGACCTCTCCAGAATCCTAGAGGGCACTGATGCCAGTTTAAAGATTAAGGTGCACGTGATCCTAACTGTGATCTTTTCCATTACTTGCTCTGCATCTGAAAGTTGGACACTAGTAAGGATGACAGAAGACGACTCGATGACTTGGAGCTGTGGTGTTGGAGAAGAGTGCTGAGTATCCCAGGGACTGGAAAGAATGAACAGATGGGTCCTGGGAAAGGAACAGCCACAGTGCTCCTTGGAGGCAGAGTGACTCTTCGTCTCAGGGACTTTGAGCATGTTGTTAGGAGCAACCAGTCCTGGGAAAAGACCTCATGCTTGGAAAGGAGAAGGGTCAGTGTAAGAGGAAGGCCCTCCCGGAGAGGAGTTGACAGGCACCGTAGGGTGAGCGTGAACATTGCAGAGGTGAGGAAGGCCCAGCTGGGCAGGCCTCAGGCCCCGTGTTCAGAGGCTCCCTGGGACTTGTACTGAACTCACCACTTCACGTGTGGGCGTCCCTCGTTGGAAGACAGGCCCTCCCAGGTCGTTTACTTTTTGAAACTATCTTGGCCACTTTGGGGGCTTTGCTTTTCTGTGTGCATTTTTAAATCAGCTTGTCACCTTCTGCCACAAGAGGGTTATGTTGTGGAGAGCCGGCACGTTGACAGGGGCAGGGGCCTGCCTTTTTGGAGTGGCCACCAGCATCTTTGAGCTGTTCGGAAGCTCTGCTTTTATGGTAGGTGAATTTGCCCTTATTTTGAAATGATTCAGCAAACTTCTTGCAGCAGATTCTTCCTCGCAGTCATTTTCACGTGGAGCTTTTAAATCACGGAAACGGCTTTCCTTGCACCGAAGAACCTCTGCCGGTGAGCCAATGCAGACCCCCGGCCACCCTAGAGGACGGACGGAGTTCGGTGTCACGTGTCGGAGGCTGCACATCTTTGTGGACACAGCGCTGCCTCTTTATTCCTCACGGAGCCGCTGGTGCATGTGAACCCTGGGCCCATAGACTGGATGCATTAACCGCAGCTCCCCTGACACTGAAGTTGGGCTTACCAGACAGTGGGGCTTGCACTGTCCCAGTGGACAGACTGATTCTCAGACGTGGTTGGAGCGGATCACCGGGGCCTCGAGGACTGCCTGGGTTTTACAGTTACTTTATAATTATGTTTCCGCCAACCTCACAATGCTGCTTGCTTCTGATAATTTGCGTATTTCTTTTCAGTTTGTACGTTCTCAGTCACGTCCTATGTGAGGAGGAACAGGCGTCTGCCCTCGGCCTTCCTGAAGGCCTGTGTCCTGTCTGCCTTAGTGACAGGGTCCTGAGTCTGTGAACTGTGGACTGGCCGCTCGGCCTTGTTCTCAGATCAGAGGGCAGGCGTCCGGCCTCCTGCCACTCGGGGTGCAGCCTCCACTTCCTGTTCACCAGCCCGAAGACGTTCCCCTCGCTCTTAGTTTACCCAGGTGTCTGGGAAGATGTCACCTTTCTAACTGAAGCCTTTTTATTGTCTGTTGAGAACATCGTGCTGTTTCTTCTGTTACTGTAGGGAAGCGCACTGATGTTAGAATGTTAACCAGCTTCAGTGCTGGATTTGTGGAGCACCCACACTGCTCTCAGGCCGCACTTGGGATTTTTGTACATACTCGGTTTGGTTTGCTGATGCTTTATTTAACATTTTTACCTATAAGTTTATGAGTGCTTATGTTATAATTTCCCTTTGTAATAATACCCTTGTCAGGTTTTTGCTTGCTTGTTTTGGGTGGTGTATTTGTAACATTTTGTTGAGATATAAATACCATACCGTAACATTTACTCTGGCCGAGTATAATTGAGTGGTAATTTAGTGCATTTGCAAGCTTGTGTAACCATTCATCATCATCTCACTGCCGTCAAGTTGGAACCAGCTCAAAGCTGAATCTCTTTTGGGTTTCTGAGGTTGTAAAGCGAGAGGTGGGTGGTTGCCCATCTTTTTTCCACAGAGTTGCTGGTGGCGTTTGAACAGCCGTGAGGGGTGGCCTGTGGGGACAGCTGTGATGCTCCCGAGGGGCTGTGCCCAGAGCTCCCTGTTATTACCATACCACCGTCTAATTCTGGAACACTGTCCTCATTCCAGAAAGGAACCTGGCCCCCGCCCGCTGGCATTCCCATTTGCTCTGTCCAGCTCCGTCTGCCCTCAGAGCCACCCTCTCCCGGCTTCTGCTGTGAGTCTTCATGGGAGAACCTGCCATCTTGCTCCTGAGCACCTACTGGCCTTGAACCTCTGCCCTTTTGGTTAGATGCCTGCACGACAGAGCTGGGGCTCTTTCCCGCCTGCTGCTTCCCAAGCATCTACTGTCTCTGAATCCCAGACCTTTGGTACAAATGGGATCACCAAGATGTGGTTTTCCATCTTTTATTTAGCATGATAATTTCAAGACTCGCCCTTCTTGTTGCATGTGTAACTAATTCACTCCTTTTCAAGGGTCTTGAGGTGACCCTCTTTTTTTTTTTTTGTGGACCAGAACCTATAATAACAAAAATAATAGAACCCTTACTAAAGCTATGAATCTTTTTAAATAAATATTTGGAGGAGAAGTGAAAAGAAGCAAAGAATTTCAGGTGATTATTAGGGAGGAATTTGGTCAAGGGTCTCCTTAGGGGAATTTCATGTCATTGTTTGTTAGGTTTCTAACTGCCTGTTGTTGTTGAGAACCACTGAGTCAGAATGGATGCTTGACGCCCCTGCAGCACGTTTTCAGAGACAGTGGATCACATGGGGAGAGGGGGCGGGAGAAACCCCCGCCTTCAGATCGGCAGCACAGCGCCTGATCACTAGACCACCAAATCGCCTCGGGTTTAATGGTTTTTTTGTTAGGTTTTACCTTGAGTTGTAAATACTACTTTAAACTCTAGTGAGCATCCACAGTTTGTCTTGGAAAGCTTGACTGTTTTGGTAAATGAGTGTTTTTCATCATTTACATAATAAAACAGTGCTAGGAGATTCTAGGAATGATTGGAAGAGGTAAACAAAAAAAAATGCAGGATGGTACTGTTTACCAGAATATTTGAGTTGTATATTGGATCGATAAATGATTTACTGTTAACTGTTAAAGTTTCAGGGGTTCTAAGTGCCCCGGGTGGATTAGCTGTGTAAGGTTTTGCTGACGGTAATTATGCTCATTTTATGCACGAGTAAATGCACACGGAAGCTGGGTAACTTGTCCAGGGTCACACGAGTGGTGGGTGGAGGAGCTGGGAAGACTTGATCCATCGCTCCACCCTCCGAGCACGTTCGCATGGCGCTGACAGTGCGGTCCTGCATTCCTGACTCGATTCCTGGGATTTGTGGAAGAGTCTGTGTCAGCGCCTTCCCACGGGGCTCGCTCCTGAGAGGCAGGTTGAAGCAGACACTCTTCTTTTGCTTAGTCCTGTACTGGCGCATTTTGCTTTATCAAGTGAGTCTTTGCTCGCTCGTCTCTTAGGAGTCCCACTTCTGCCGGACACCAGGTACGAGCCGACCTTTAGAGATTGAAGGTTCGTGGCAGCCTGAGGTGAGCTGGTCTGTGGGTAGTTTTTCCAACAGCGTGTGCTCACTTCCTGTCTGTTGAGTTTTGGTAATTCTCACAGGATTTCAGACGTTTTCATAATGCTGTCACACACTCGACAGTCTGCAGTGTAGTGTGAGCCTTTCCATGTTTGGAAAACTGGAAAGCTGGAGTGGCCTGCTTCACTGCGGTGGTCTTCCACCCAGGCTGCCTTCTTGTGGGGCTTCCTGTGCCGGGTCACAGTCGCTGGAGGTTCCAGTGAGGAGTCAGGCATGGATGTGGTCATTTATGGGGAAGTTGGCCGTGCCCTCAGCGAGTAGGTGGGGTGTGTGTGTGTGTGTGTGTGTGTGTACACAGGAGCAGATGCTGGTCTGTCTGTGCTGTCTCTGCTCTTGTCCTCGCTCCACTCCTGCTTCCCGGCTCCATACTGTCCTGTCCCCGCTCTTCTGAACTGCCTGTTCAGCTGGTGGGTTCTTGCTCCTCCAGTTGCCCATCGCTCTAACGTGTTAATATTTGTGAAAGGATGCCTAAAATGTGGTCTGGTGTTACTGATTTGATGTAGGGAATGACAGAGGAAGAGGAAGATAAACTTCTGGCACTGAAAGACTTCATGATGAAATCTAACAAAGCCAAGGCCAACATCGTGGACCAGAGCCACCTCCACGACAGCAGCCAGAAGGGTGTGATCGACCTGCCGGCCTTGGGCATGACCGGGAGGCAGGTGGACCTCGTGAAGACAAAGCAGGAACCGGATGACAAGCGAGGTTAGTGTGTGAAGGCGCGCCAGTGCCTGCGTGAGCTGGTTACGCTCAGCCGTAGAGACTGCGTCTGGTGAGCTAGCGTGTTTAAAAGTCCATTTCTCAGGCTGGTGGTGTTGGGTGGTGTTGAGTTGGAACTGACCGATAGCTGACCCTCCAGTGGCTATTCAGAAGCATTTACAAGGAAGGAGACTGCCCATCCTTCTCCTGTGGAGCAGCTCGTGGATTCGAACCACATACTTTGGGATTGCAGCACAGCTTCTTATCAGTAGGCCGCCAGAGCTTGTTGAGGTTCTTAGAGCAACTATTAAATTGTATTTAATGTAATTCTGGCAAACAGTGGGATAAATTCATTCTGTCAGACACTGGGCTTAATACTTAAACTTAGTGATCAGTGGTTTATATTGAAATATGTAAAGCATTTTGAAGGATTATTTTCAAATGCTTATACATATCAATAAGACTATGTTGTTGTTGTTGTTGATTGCCTTTGAGTCAAGCATGACTCATAGTGACCATATGAACAAAAGGCCTGAAGCCCCTCTACAACTATCAACACTTATTAGCGTTTACAGAGTTTCTGGAGGCAGATTGTTTAGGAAGTGGATGCCACTCCTGCTTCCAAGAATAAGAGTATAGACTCCTGAAAAGGAAAAATGGGTGAAGAATTTGAGTAGACATCTTATAGAAATGTGTGCGTGTGTGTCTGTACCCAACTAGGTAAATCATTAATAAATCCACAGCAGGGAGGTGCTCCTTGTGCCTGTGTGGTGAGCAAAGGCTGATGATACCGAGTGACGGTAAGGGTGTGGGGCCCGGACATGCTTGTGCCCTGCTGATGAGGGTATTCAGGAACATTGATTCTTTTTAGAAGGCTGTTAATCACTTTTATGCAAATTACTCACTTTCATTTAAAATGTCTTTACTCTCTGACTCAACATTGTCAGTTTTAAAAATTTTTCCTAAGAAATACTGACAGGCATGTGGAAAAATTTGTACAGGAATGTTCTCAGGGATTGAAAACGACAAAGTCATCGGATTGTACTAGTAGTAGATGAGGGAGGAAAGGTGACTTGTGGAGAGACTGCATGCGCTGGGCATCGATGTCGTCCACGTGACACTGCATTCTCCAGGGCATCAAGAGGGGCTCTGGGGGTGTCCTGCACGCGTGTGACACTGCTGACGCGTCCACGTGGGAATCCTCAGGCCCACCGGGGTGCTGAGGAGAAGGAGCGATGCCTTGGAATCCACTTGGTGCCAGTGGGCTTTCAGCGTTGGAATTGCTGGAGCAATTAATTTTCTGTTTTGACAGTGCTGCAGTCTTGGGTTTTTAATATACTTTTTGGTAACCCGCCTGAGGTAAAACCCAGGGCTTTGGGTTAGCCCCTGTCCTGCTGGGCATGCATTTTCCTCCTCTGACAGTCAGAATTAGAACCTGCATTTCACAGGCTCCCCAGGGGGTTCTTCCAGCTCCACAGTGACACTGACACATAAGACTGACCCACTCAGGTTCGTTAGTTGTGATTAGTGGTAAGGGAATTCAGTTGCTGTCTCTTTACCACCAAAAAAATAAGGGGGGCAGGGCAAGCGCATTCTAGTTTAGAGCCCCTCTCAGATGACACCTCTGCTCATGTCTCCACAGCTAGAAAGCATGTCAAGCAAGACTCCAATGTGAATGAAGAGTGGAAAAGCATGTTTGGGTCCTTGGAGCCGCCGGCCATCCCCCAGGCCCTCCCCAAGGGCAGCGACCAGGACGGGATGCAGACTGGGCGGCCGTCGCGATCCGAGTCCTCTGCTGGCCTCGGCGTTCCCTTGTCCACCTCCCCACAGGTACTGTTACCGGGACTAAAGACCGTGGCACTCAGCTGGGCGATCGGGGCGGGGTCTTGTCGTGGAGAGGACACAGCTTCTTCACAGGACAGCTTTACCTGATACAGCAGGACTTAGTCGTTGGAGTCACCCACAAGTCTCAGCACTCACCAGTCACCTGCCCTGACGTTGTAGGTTGACCACAGGGTTATGAACTGCTGTGGCGAGCCTTTCAGACGCTGCTATGCCTTCTTGAGTTCCACTAAACATAGTCCTGTCTGTGAAATAGCAGATACCCTTCTGGGCAGAGGTCTTTCCAGCTCGCTGTCTGGAGTAAATGTTAGAGGGATTTGATATATTTGAAATAAGTTTGTGTAACTTCCATCACCAGTTATATTTGAAATTAAAAAGTATGAGCTGAGCCAGACTGAGAAATTAAAATGATTTCTTCTTTTCATTTAAATGAATTACATTTTTTTATTTAGTGTTATTTGCTTACTTTAGATAATGTTGAGGTTCAAAAAGTAACACTTGAGCTTAAACTTACAACTAAGTTTTCATGTACCAGGTCACTGTTAAATGTGGTCAAAAATTACTACATTAATAAGGACAGAAGGTTGGTGTAATGAGGAGTGAGAATGTAAATGACCTGCAGTTGGCTTGTTTTTCAGTTTCCAGAAGTGACAAATGTTCAGAATCGGAAACCAGCGGTCCAGGTTTTGAGCAGCACGGTGGTGCCGTCCACCTGCCAGATTCGGATCACGACCTGCAAGACTGAACTTCAGCAGCTTGTGCAGCAGAAGCGGGAGCAGTGCAATGCTGAGAGGCTGGCGAAGCAGATGATGGAGAACGCCGAGTGGGAGAGCAAGCCCCCGCCCCCCGGTAAGAGCCCCAGGGCTGCGCTGTGTCCTCCGCGCCTTGCTGTAAGCCCCCGCCCACCCCCTCCCCCCGTAAGAACCCCGGGGATGGGCTGTGTCCGCGCCACCTTGGTGCAAGCCAATGTCCCCAAAGAAAACCCGGATGCCCCTCTAAAAACCCTAGGGGTTGGCTGTATCCTCAGTGCAAGCTCTTGCCCCCCACCCCAAGAACCCAGGCTCCCCTCCCTAAAAACCCCAGTGATGGGCTGTGTCCTTGCCGCCTTGGTGCAAGTGTCCCCCACTCCTCCTACTCTCCCCACCCCTGCCTCGTAAGAACCCTAGGCGTGGGCTATGTCCCTTGCTGCCTTGGTGCCCAGTTCTAGAAACAGGAAGTACCAGAAGAGGGAGTGGGGACAGAGTGCCTGTTAGGAAGCCCATCGGTGAGCAGTTGTGTGGGATTTGGATCTCTTGGCTCTGATCGTGCACCCCAGTCCCTGTAGAGGCTGGTCGTGCAGCGTCGTGGCCTGTCTGTGCCTCTGTGTCCTTGTCTCTGAGTGTGCACCCCAGTCCCCGTGCAGCGGCGTCGTGGGCTGTCTGTGCCTCTGTGTCCGAGTGTGCACCTCTGTTCCCGTGGAGGCTGGTCGCGCGGTGTCGTGGCCTGTCTGTTCCTCTGTGTCCCAGGTTACAGGACCAGTCACTGCCTTCCCGCCAGCCGAGTGCTGAACGGCTGCTTCACTGCGTATGCACTTCTAGGGGGACTCCTCATTTCTGAAAAGTGTTAGCATCTGTTCTTTTCCTTTAGAAAACCTTAGAAAACGATGGGTAATTTTTAAGCAAAACAAAAAAAGTTACCTAGAATGCTACTATTCACTGCTTATCAGTGTTAAGATTTTGGTGACATGCCTGAGGAGATTTTGAAAATACTGAGCAGTGTTTCAGAGGGAGCTGTGGTTGGGCTGCAGGACTGCATTTGCCTGACGTGACTGGGTCTGAATGGGATTTTGGTGTTTGTGGAGAGCTTTACCTGCTGAGGAGTTCCTGTGTTTAGCCTTGAGGAGTAAGATTGTTGTTGAAAACGCTGAGAAGAAAGGCACTGGGTGCTGATTTGCAGAGAAAAGTCATGAATGTCCACGTCAGATGTGGACTTGGAGAGACTGTTAGAGGCCATTGGGGTGAAGAGTTACAAAAATTGTCATGTGGTAAATGACCTTTCTAGTCAAATAAAATTTCTGGTCAAAATAAATACCTTAAGAGTGTTTAAGGTACTTTTGGATTTGTCAGTATTGTTTACAGTCCAGCTTTGGAAATTATAAAACCCCAGCACCTGACTGTGAACTCTAATTTTGTGATTCCATCTACCAATATGAGCATCATTTTTGTATTATTGGTAGATGCTTTCAGGTTGAGTGCAGCTCACGCCGACCCTGTGAACAGCAGACCTGAACGCATCCCGCCCTGTATGTCCTCGTCTCTGACACCCTCGAGCCCGTGGCTGCAGCCACTGCCCATTTTATTCCTCGGTAGAGCCGTCTGTATTCTGTAATCACAGAAATGGTCCCGATTTTGTGGTTCAGGAGATGTGCAGTAGCGATTGGCCTCTTGATTTTTCTCTTCCTACAGATGAGCGGTTCTGTGAAATTGATTTTTCTGGAGGGAAATGTTCACTCCAGCCTGGTGGATAACCTTGACTTCACTTTCCAACACAGCACATCCACTCTTGGGCGGAGTTCTTCCACACATGTGGACTAGAGAGCCGCGGGAAACGTCCTTTCCACCTCAGAAGAACGCTGATCCCGCAGTGGCTTGGGGCTCATTTTTGCTTATTAGTGAAAACAGATCATCCTGAAATAATGCTTCATCATCACTTTATCAGCAGTGTGGTGCCTTCAGTACACTAGGATCTTTGCAGAGCATGTAATAGAGCGATAGAAAATGTTAGCAAATGTTATGCGTAGTACAAATGGCACAGTTTATTCATCATGTATCGAAGACAGTTACGCTAGGCCTTGTGGAGATTCAGAATAGTAAGACATACCCGTGACCTCAGGAGATTAGTGAGAGGAAATGTATCGTCAACAAAAGGATACAGACGAGAAATCGTACAAGGGCCAGCGTGTAAACAACGAGCTCCCTGGCCTTCTGAGGGTGCCATTGCCAACACCGTTCGTGCTGGCGTGCTGATACCACAGACCCCATGGCTGCAGGGGGTTCACTGTGACTGCGGACAGGGCTGACGTCATAGCCTTCCTTTCTGATAGAGTCACTCTTTGGGGTTAAGTACCATTTCCTCAGTTTGCATTTGGCAGACTGAAGCTTTGAACATTCACGTAAGTGACTCACTTATGTGAGCAGCTTGGGCTGCTGGTGCTGGACCTTTGAGGCCTCTGGGCTCAGCCTCCCTCTGGGCACCGTTTTCTTTAGAGCTGGGCAGTCCTGGCCTCGTGCTGCTGAGCCTGGGCGGGCAGTTGGGGTCCCTGGAGAAGTGTCCGATGGGTCTTCTCTTGGGCTGTTTCACACGGCTGGATGCTGTCCTGGTGTCTTTCTCATAGACAGCGCCTGTCTGTCTGTCTGTGTGCTGTTGCTCCTTCCCGTGCTTCTTCCTCATAGACAGTGTCTGTCTGTCTGTATCTCTATGCGCTGTGTCACGCCCTCCCTTGCCTCTTCCTCATAGACAGTGTCTGTCTGTCTGTCTGTGTGCTCTCTCACGCCTTCCTGTGCCTCTTCCTCATAGATAGTGTCTATCTGTCTGTCTCTCTGTGCGCTGTGTCACGCCCTCCCTTGCCTCTTCCTCATAGACAGTGTCTGTCTGTCTGTCTGTGTGCTCTCTCACCCTTCCCGTGCTGGGTTCAGGACTGTCCCCACGCTGGTGCTGGCCCGAGGAAGCCGGTGTCTGTGCACCGCACCGTCAGAGGTCTCCTTTGCTTCTCCTCAGGGTGGCGTCCGAAAGGCTTGCTCGTGGCACATCTTCATGAACACAGATCTGCTGTGAATCGCATTCGAGTGTCCGATGAGCACTCGCTCTTCGCCACGTGCTCCAATGATGGCACGGTGAAAATCTGGAACAGTCAGAAGATGGAAGGGAAGACTACCACCACCAGGTATGTGAGAGTGCGCCCCGGCCTGCAGGTACTGAGCAGGAGAGAGTGCGCCCCGGCTGGCAGGTACAGAGCAGAGGAGAGTGTGCCCTGGCCGGCAGGCACTGAGAGCCCGCCCCAGCTGGCAGGTACCAGGTACGGAGCAGGGGAGAGCACGCCTCGTCCTGCAGGTACTGAGCAGAGGAGAGTGTGCCCTGGCCAGCAGGCACTGAGAGCACGCCCCGGCTGGCAGGTACCAGGTACGGAGCAGGGGAGAGCACGCCTCGTCCTGCAGGTACTGAGCAGAGAAGAGTGTGCCCTGGCCAGCAGGCACTGAGAGCACGCCCCGGCTGGCAGGTACCAGGTACTGAGCAGCCACCAGGTACCGTGTGCAAGGGCGCCCTCAGCTGGCAGGTACCGCGCACAGGAGAGCCCGTCTTGGCCCGCCTCAATCACCAGGCGCCTCTGTGCTTTGGGTCCCGATACAGCAGTGATGAACGGATAGAAGTCGTCATTTTTGTAGGAGGTGACACAGCACGCACAGTCAGTGAGCGGAACAAGTGTGTTAGCTGGTGAAAACGCTCTGAGGAGAGAGGAACGTTGGTTTGCTGCTCAGGTTATGTTGTTAATCGAAAGGTACTTGGTATGTCATGTAGCCCCTGGCACGTTGTGCTGCTGTGTCTGTCTGGTCTGGCGGTTTGGGTCTCCCAGGCTCCTCCCATCAGGATTTCTATCCTTGGGGACCAACAGCATTTGGTGAGTCGGCCCAGCTCAGCAGTGAGCGATCAGCCATGGCGGTTTGTTTTTTGTGGGTTTCTAAGTAAGTTGCAGACATCAGTGTGCTTCAGTGTCTGACCTAAGATTGTGTGCCCATAGGTCCATGGGTCTCAGCAGTGCGTTCCTGAGTCCTGACAGATGCGTGCCCTGTGCAGCCCAGCCCCCAGCCCCGTGGTGGTACAGACACAGCAGGGCCTTGGCGCCAGGATGGTCGCTGAGGTCCCCTCCGGAGTCTCCTCCTGAGAGTCGTACTCCAGGCGTCCTTTCGCACGTGTCTTCTCTCCTCCCCTTGTCTCGCATTCTGATTACTCACATTCTGATTACTCTCATTCTGATTAGTGTTTTTAAAGGCCTCTCTTTCTTGTTTGCCGGGTGGCTCTTCACTGTTGTCCCCGTCAGTTCATGACCTGCGTTAGCAGGATGTTTCCTTAACACGAGGAAACTTCACAAGGCCTCCCCTCCTGCTCATTCCGGGTGATCTTCTTCCAGAGCATGTTCTCTCTGTCCAAATCACTTTTAAGATCGTGCCACCCCAGAAACCTGGTCGCTTTGTGATCTGAAGGGGCACTGGTGGTTCTCTGCATTCTGTGTTGGGCTCCTTACTGAGGATGGGGAGAAAGAGGGAGGGGGGAGAGAGAAAAAAGAGGTGTCGGGAGGGGAGGGGAGGGGAGGAGAGGTAGATATGGGTGGCCTTCTGCCGTCAGGATGCACAGCTTTGGAAGCCCGAGGGTCTCTTGCGTGAACCAACTCGGCTGTCTTTGGGAAATGTGGGCTAGCAGGTTGACTGTCCTCTGGAGGCTGCTGCCCTCACACGTCTGTGACAGTCCACTCTGCTGTTGGTGGGATGCTCGGGGTCCTGGCTTAGAGGTGCTCTATGGCGAGTGTAGGGAGAGGAGGAGGGAATGAGCTGCTCTCTCATCATTGATGGTGGGAGACCATCACCGCACCAGCTAGTGGCTGGGAAATTGGTGCTTCGACTTTGGAAATGCTGGTCAAGTACATTGTGACTGCTAAGGTTCCCCCACCTTCTGTTGCCTGGTCATCCACTTGTTCTCAGGAAATTCTAGTGCGTTCTGGCTGTTGAGGTTAGCCATCTGCCTTCACTCCGTTCTCCTTAGGAAATGCTATTCGAGCACATTCCGACTGTTGTGGTTTCCCCTGGCCTTTGTTAGCTCACCACCCTGTTCTTCTGAGGAAATGCTATTCTAGTACATTCTGACTGCTGTGGTTTCCTTCGTTAGCTCACTGCCCTGTTCTTCTGAGGAAATGCTATTCTAAATCAGTTCTGGCTGCCGAGGTTCCCTGGCCTGTGGGCTGACCCCCTGTTCCCAGTGCTGACTTCTCATTGAATTGCGTATGATTTAGACCATCTGTTCCATCTTTTCTATCACGATTCAACTTGGTCTCTTGAGAAGTAATAATTGTTTTCTACTATTTTACGCCTTCCTCCTTTATCAGAAGCTATTTCGTGTCCCCTAATCCTTTCCCACAGCTGCCTGTGTTCCTTTCTGTTGGGTGCACTCAGCTTCTCTCCTTGAGGAGCGGCCGATGGCTTGGGCCTTGCTGAGGTGAGGTATGAAGCATCTCCGGGCAGCCGTGTCAGAGGGAGGACTGGGAACAGCGTGAGGGATGTGCTGCCGCAGCTCCCAGATCACAGGCCTTCACTCGTCCGTGTCGGAGGAGGTGACAGGCAATCAGCTCAAGGCTGGGTGTCCAGAATGTTCAGCTCTGCTTTCTTCACGGTCAAGCAGATGTGACCAGGAACAGCAGGGAGGGTGAAATGGGTTGAGGGGTGGTGCACCCATAAGAAGGATGTGGAGGAAACACATTTCTGATCTGAAAGGCAGTATTGCTGCATTTTATTTTAACACGTGTTGAGACCCTGGGGAGAGAAGGAGTATCACTCCAGCAGCTCAGTTTAAAAGAAGGAGGAAGGGCTTGTTGGCTAAGCCGGTGGAGCAAGCGGCAGGGACAGGCACCCAGCGTGGCAGGGGCGCTCAAGCCGCCTTGGAGTTGATTTTTTATAGGGAAACTGATAAGGGCTTCTTTGTTGGTGGGTTCAAAGTGGCAGAGATACAATAGAACTGTTATTTAAACACGGTAAATCTGAGGGAGAGGGTGAGTCTTTAACAAGCGTATAAAGTATCTCATACTTAAAAAAGAAAGTGTGTCTGTTTAATAAGCATCTAAAATGTTGCTAGAGCTCTCTGGGTAGTAGAATGAGAAATGATCTTAATGTATTCTTTAGTTTAATAGTGTTTACATTTAGTATGTATTAACTGGTATAATGGAATGAGCTGTGAAAGTTGGATTAATGCATTTGGTGGTCAAGGTTTTGGCTTTTCAACCGGTCAGATGCAGCCCATGTGGAGGGGATGGAGTGGCAAGTGGTGAGGACTGGAGACACCTGTGCAGCTCCCAGGCCAGGAGCGTGGTGGCGAATTTAGTTGAGAATACTGAAAATGAGGATTTAAGCACTCAGAGTGTATTTGTATGAGTTGGAATGATGATAAAGCTGTACATTTATTGGGATTTTGTGATTTATAGATTCATTGTGAAGTCCTTATTTTGCTGGTAATTAAACTTAGACACCCACATCAGGCCAAGTGGTTTGACCAGATCGTGCAGAATGTCCCCTGTGGAAGTCAAGGCCTTGATTCCGAAGCCAGGGCCTTCCCTTCTGAGAGAGTAGGCGTTAGGAAGTGCAGGGCGACCGGAGGATGTGAGCCTCCGCTTCCCTTGTCGGAGCTGGAGGAGAAGGGACCTGGGCCGCGCGGTGGAGTTCCTGTCAGAACGGAGTGAAGGCAGCATCGCTGAGACAGCGCCACTGCACGCAGATGGCTCGTTGTTCCCAACGGGAGAAAGGGGGATTCTGTACCAGTGCTTTGAGAGGGCTTGCATTTCTGCTAGGTGACGTAAGAAGGTGCAGTGGATCGCACGGTGTTAATAATGCTTGTTAATTGTGATGTGGATGTTTATTTAATGAGTCTGTCTCAGGGAAACAGCTGTGTCTGCTGATGTTTAGAACATGGGTGTTTATTTAACATCTGCAGTAGGAACATGTTGTGGCTTTTCAGAAATGAGCTGCTCCTTCTCCCTGATACAGGTCCATCCTCACGTACAGTCGAATCGGAGGACGTGTCAAGACACTGACCTTCTGCCAAGGCTCCCACTACTTGGCCATCGCGTCTGATAATGGGGCCATCCAGCTTCTTGCCATCGAGGCGTCCAAGCTGCCCAAGTCTCCTAAAATCCATCCTCTCCAGAACAGGTACCGCTCGTGATCTTAACCTTCATGTGGAGGCATGTGCTATGGGCTCTCCCACTCTGACTGTGCAGTTAGGAGCGTCTGAGGACGTGGAGGTGTGTGCTGTGGCCTCTCCTCCTTCGACCATGCGGTAAGGACCATCTGAGGGCTTCTTTCATGTAGTTCTGTTTTTAGTATGTCAAATAAATATAACTGCTCCCAGCTCAGAACTATCACAGCTGATTAGCTCCAACAAATTTTATCTACATGTTTTATTTTCTGCCACTTTGTCAAAGGGTCAGAAGGGCAGCTTTGACCTCCTAGCTCACCCCAGTCAGGCATTTGACGGGATAACCTAATTTTGAGTCCTGTCGTCTGTCTCTGTTATTAAGAGCACAGCTTGGGCCTGGCTGATGTTTAGAATGTGAGTGTTTTTCATTAAAGGAAGATTAGATGTTGGCTTTCTGTTGTTTGGCCTCAGAGTCTGTAATTGATGGAGACAGGGAGTGGAACTTTGAGAGGATGTGTTTGATCTACTGGTGGTTTACCTTGAGAACGTTCTTCATTGCTATAAAACATAGTCACTTGCAGATTAAACGCCTGCATGGTGAAATCGTTAGGAGTAAAGCAGAACGGTTTCTAGCTGGCCAGTATTGGGTCCTGAAGACTCCAAAGGTAGATAAACTCATACCTGCATTCTGATAACTATTTGTCATGCCTTTCAGAACGTTGTTACTATTGTGTAACTGTGTTAACGATGTTCCTTGTATTGGGCTTCACAACCAGCACTTCTGATAGCAGCAGTCAGGAAATCCTAAGATGTGCTGCCTTGGGAAGACCTGCTGTCAAGGACCTCTCCAGAGTGCTGAAGAACAGCGATGTCAGTCTGACGACTGAGGGGGGATCCAGACCATGGTCTTGTCAGTATTTCTTACGCGTCTGGCATCGGGCACTGTGTGGGGAGAATTGTTGTGTGCTGTCGAGTTGGAACAGATGAGTACCTTATGCTCCAGTGGGTTTTCAGAGGCAGCAAATACCATGGGAGGGGAATGTTCATCTTTTTTCTGCAGAGCAGCTGGTGGATTAGAACTCTATACCTTTTAAATTGCAAGGCCGTTTCTTACCACTGGATCACAGAGCTCCCTAAGAAGAATTGATGCCTTTGGATTGTGCTGTTGGTGAACAGTGTTGAGTATACTCTGGACTGCCAGAAAACAGATTTATCTTGGAGGAACTGCACCTTCCAGGCAGGAATGGGGAACCATCGGCTCACATACTCTGGACAGGTTTTCTTGGAAACAGACATCACGCTGGGAAAAGTGGAGGTGAAAAGACTCTCAGTAGATGGATTGACAGGAACCGTGACAGTGGTCCTCAGCAGTCGGTGACGGTGAGGCTGGCTCAGGACAGGATGGGGTGCAGATCTGTGGTCAGTGACCGTGACATGGGCCTCAGCAGTCGGTGATGGTGATGCTGGCTCAGGACAGGACAGGGTGCAGATCTGTTGTCCACAGGTTGCTGTGAGCTGTAGTCGATGGCACCTGACAACATGTTAAAGATAGGGACCTCTCATGATGTAGCCTTTGCAGAGTTTCACTGCAGATACAAAGATCTCATGTCTCCTGGGGTTTGGATCCTCTAGCCACTTGGAGGAAGGTGGTCATGGCCTCCTGTTAGGATTTCCAGCCTTGGAAACCGTAGGAGGGGCCTGCCAGTCAGAACTGACCTGATGGCAGTGCGTTGAGGTTGTATTTTTTATGTTGACTTAATTTGATTTAAAGACAAGTTCAGCTTAAAGATACAGTTGGCAGCAGCATTTGTGTGGAATCAAGGGACAGCCTGCATCTGTTGCTCTGTCTGTGCACACATGATCCACACACCACTGAGGACAGAAGCCCAGGTGTGTCCGCATGTGGGACAGGAGACCTGGCTTGCTTCCTGGCTGCCTCTCTTCCGAGGGCTTGATTTAGGTGGGGGCACCTCTGCAGCCAAGAAGCCGAGATTGTGGAACCAGGACTGCTAGTGAACGGATGATCTAGATCAGGCAGGGAAACTCCAGGGTAAGCCTGCATCATCTGTTGGTCCTGGAAAGTTAAGGTGTGTTCAGAGATACCTCTGGGCGCAGTAACCAGCCCCAAAGAGTTCCCCTGGCCCAGGAGGAACAAATAAATTAATGGAGGAAGAAGTGGTAGCTCTTTATTTCAAAAGAATTCTTTTTTTTTTTTTTTTTAATTTTTTGTGCATGTACCGTCAAATCAGATCTGACTGGTACGGGAGGAAATTTTCCCTCCTTCTCTGGCAGAGTATCTGGTGGATTTGAACCGTGTACCTTTGCGATTGCAGTACAACTTCTTGCCACTAGGCCACCAGAGCTCCCCTAGAATTCTGATCACTTAATTGAGAAGAGTTGAGGGGACTCAGAAAGTCACCATTAGAACACCACAGCGGTAATTGGTGCAGAAGTGACTCACCAATTAATCCTAAAATTAGTGCATAAAAGTTTTTCAGAAGCAGAATTCTCCACTGAGAAAGTCTCAAGAGTATTTCCCTGCACTGTTGAGGGAAGAGGTTTATGGTGGACACTGCTAGCCGACGGCGTCCTGCTCAGGTGACCGGGGTGAGCACCCGGTGCATCACGTGAGCATCGCAGCAGCAGGTGCGCTCCGGGCGCCAGTCCAGTGTACACGGCCTAGGTGACCCTGGGTTCATGATGAGAAAGCGTCACACTGACCGCCCTGCTGGACCCCACAGACAATCAGATCATCTTCAGAAATGGAGGAGACTGAGGAGTCAGGACGGCTGTGCCCCACGTGGGACTGGGCCTTGGAACTGAAAAAGGGCACGAGTGGAAAGCCTGGGAAAATGGGAGTGTTTTATAAAAATCAATGCTGTTAGGTCAGAGTCCTCTCTGCCGCTGAGTTGGAGGGACTGCTCGGCGACCCTGCAGTGGGTTCTCAGAGGCTGTAAATGGCACCGATGGAGGCTGTCCATCCTTCCCCAGCTGAGCAGCTGGTGGATTCGAACCTGCAGAGGGACACCATCTGTGGGTCAGCAGGGCAGCTCCCTGTGGCCTCTGCACCACCAGAGCGCCCCGGTAGTACTGCGTTAGGGTTACTCTCTTAGTTGGCTACTTATTTCCCGATCAGGAGTAGGATGTCCATTCACGTCCAGGGTTCTGGTGGCCGCGGGGCCTTTGCTGATTTCTCTGTGTGTCTTTTCTAGAGCTCTGGACCCCAAGGAGGATGGCTGCGTGGTGGACATGCACCACTTCAACTCAGGGGCCCAGTCTGTCCTTGCCTACGCCACTGTCAACGGCTCCCTGGTCGGCTGGGACCTCCGCTCTTCGAGCAACGCATGGTCCCTGAAGCATGACCTGAAGTCGGGCCTCATCACCTCCTTCGCAGTGGACATCCACCAGTGTTGGCTCTGCATCGGTGCGTCCACTCACAGGCCTGGCTGGGTTTTCAGTGTGATGGGTGCCTGGACTTGACATCTTGTGAACGTGGCTTATTCCCTCTTGAAAAAAAAATTGTATTTGGTATTTTTTTCTCCTTCTCATACGCTCTAGTCACTTGCAGTTAGACTTTGGATGCAGTGAGGATCTTGAGGCTTGAGCTGGTTCATTCTTTCTGGGTAATTTATAGCCACTGTTAACATCACATGGGTCACCTCTCTGTGTTCACCCGGGAGGCATCTGGCTTGGCTGACAGGAAACACTGGTTCAGTTTGGGTAGACAGTTTTTAATCCCAGTAACATTGGGCAAGCTTCTTAACGCTCTGAACCTACGTGTCCTTTCATCCCAGTGGGGGGACTCTGAGCCTCTCTGTCCTCATCCCAGTGGGGTGAGTTCAGTACGCTGTGTCCTCATCCCAGTGGGGGACTCCGAGCCTCTGTGTCCTCACACTCTGGGGACAAGGGGACTTCTTTGAGGCTCTGAAGGGTTCATGTGTCACTGCAGGCCTGGTGGGGGAGTGACAGAGCATGTCTCTTCTGCAGAGGTTGAAAGCAGGCACTGGCTGTGTGGTCACTTTGGGATCACTGCATGATCGCTGGTGCTGTGTGGTCACTGTATGGGTGTTTGTTGGGTGGCCGCTGTGCTGTGTGGTCACTGCGTGGTTTCTCTGGTCGTTATGTGGTTGCTATGCTGTGTGGTCACTCAATGGTCTCTGGGTGATTGCTGTGTGGTCACTGTGGTCGCTGTGTGGTCACTGTGGTCTCTGTGGTCGCTGTGTGGTCACTGCGTGGTTTCTCTGGTCGTTATGTGGTTGCTATGCTGTGTGGTCACTCGATGGTCTCTGGGTGGTCGCTGTGTGGTCACTGCGTGGTCTTGTGGCTTCTTTCCTGCTTTACTTCCCTTTTTCCCAGGGCTCCAAGCTCGGCCCGTTAGGAACACAGGCGTGTGTATTCTGTATCCCTTGTGTTCAGGGCCTGCTGGGCTCACACGAGGGCTCCCCGTTTGTGGTCATGACACCCACACATCATCTCACTGCTTCTGTAAGGGATGCTCGCCCTGTCTGTGAGAAGTTAGGAAGCCCTGGTGCTGGGCTGCACCTGTGGCCAGGCCTCTGGGCACCTTGATCTGTGTGCAGGACGGGTCCAGGTGGAACTGCTGCCAGGGACTGTCTGAGCACAGTGCCACCGGTCCTGTGCTGGCCTGAAGGTAGACGCTGTGTACCTGGCCCCCTCGCGGCCGTGGCTGTGCCTCTGGGCACCTCGATCTGTGTGCGGGACAAGCCCAGGGGTTCCCCCGGGGACCATCTTAGCACTAGCCTGGCTGTGCCTCCTGCCCTCTTCTGTCCATCTCCCCACTGGGGCGGAGACCTCGCACGACTACCTGCTGGGCTTGGAGCGGGCCCTGTTCTCCGAGTGAGGAGTTCTTGGCACGTTTCTGTGAGGCAGCCTGGCTCTTTCTACCACATTGTTTTATCCTCTCTAGACCATGAGTTTGTGAGCACCTTTACATCAGGAAACTGCTGCAGTCCAGGTGTGATAAACACTCTGTTCTGTAATGTCTGGGGTGCAGCGTCATGAACACCCAGGGCCCCGGCGCGGAGCTCCTGCCGTCTGCTGTCCATGAACGCGGCCTTGTGCTGACTGTCCCCTGTCTCTTCTCTTGTCAGGGACGAGCAGTGGGACCATGGCCTGCTGGGACATGCGGTTCCAGCTGCCCATCTCCAGCCACTGCCACCCTTCGAGGGCGCGGATCCGGCGGCTGTCCATGCACCCGCTGTACCAGTCCTGGGTGATTGCAGGTGAGACTCTCTCTCTCCACGCTCCCCCCGACCCCCCGCCTGGCCCTGAGGCTGCTTCTCTTCTGTTCAGAGGCAGAAATTCCCACCCCTCGTCCCACTGGCACCTCGTGTTTGCGAGGGTTATGGACCTCAGCAGCCCCCCACTTCATGGCCCTCCTGTGCCTTTCCCCGTCTGTTTCCTGTGATCGCGCTGCCTCTGGGGATCGGCCTTGGGCTCACTGACGTCCTCCTCAGTGACCTTTGTGTCTGTATCCGCTCCTGTTGCATTTTTAAGCACCCACTTCCCTGTCTCCTGGGTTTGAATCTCATCTCGTCTCACCGTCTGCCTTAGCACTTGGTTTTTCTTGTCTAGACCATTAGGCAGATGTTTGAGATTGATTTTCCTCATCTGTAAAATGGGTAGTGAGACTTCGCAGGATAACCTGTGAAGTCCTTTGGTTGGTTCTTGTAAGCTGTTGCTCGATTTGTCTTGTGCTCCCTCTCTGACCCTGCAGGCTCTGTGCACGCCTGGTTACCCACACGGCCCCTCCTGTACCCCGCCACCATCTCAGTCCCCATGCTAACAGACTCGGTGACGGTCCCTCACCCCTCTGCTTAGAGCAGCAGGTGGAAGGTGGCTGCTGGCCACACTTTGCTCCCTGCCCCCTGCCCCTCCCACACCAGCATCCCTTGACTTTGCCTCTGAATCAAGCAGATCACCTTTCAGGACCTCATGATTTTGTGGTGCCGCTGTGTATCAGTCTCAGCAAGGCATGAGTCCATGGGACAGGGCTTTCGTGCCCTGTTTGCCTCAGTGCCCGGCTTGGGAAAGGCCACCAGTGGACGCAGCCTATGCCGTTGTCCCTGGCCTGTGCTCGGAGATGCCACACGGTCCTGGCCACCTGGCCAAGCATGCTGTGTCGCTTCCCTGGGCCGGCTTCCTGGACTCGGCCTCCTCCTTCTCTCCTCTCCGTGCGGCGATGGGACTGCAGTTGGGGCTGCAGATGGGCCAGCTCGCCGCCCTCCCTCAAAACCGCCCAGGCGTATTTCCTTTGTTTTTCCTTGCTCTGCACTCTCTGCCTTCTGTCTGTGTGTGCCCAGCCCTCCGCTGTCACCCGTTCTGTCCACCGGGAGTGATGTCACCATTACCATGCATCTTGTTGCTCCCTGCGGCCAGTGGCCCGGCCTTTGCGCTGGGCGCTCACTGTCTGAGGGCTGGCACTTTTCTCTGTGTGCGCACTGTCGGTTGTTTGAGGACCAGATCTGCTTATGACTCGCCTTTCCTCCATCCGGTGGAAGCTGGCGGTGTTTACGTTGCAGTTGCTGATGTGGGGTTTCCCTCTTGCACCCGTCCAATCACAGGCACTGACTGGTTGATCTCTCATTAGAGAGGGGTTGATGGAGCGGGGCCAGGTGGCCGCGTGCCTCCTGCCTGAGTAACGGTCTGGCCTTTGTCTCCCTCAGCGGTTCAGGGCAACAATGAGGTGTCCATGTGGGACATGGAGACGGGGGACAGACGATTCACGCTCTGGGCCAGCAGTGCACCGCCGCTCTCGGAGCTACAGGTTCGCCTCCCATCTGTCCTTTCACCACGTGGAAACAGTTTGGCTTTATAAACACAGTTGGGCATCCCAAGGGCTGGTGATCCCTAGGGTTTGGTGTAACTTCCCGGCCCCACCGTTCCTCAGAATGTTCCTCAGACGCCCTGACATCTCCTTCAGGGGCTGTGCTGGTTGCCGGGTCCCTCGAGGGGGGGTGCTCTCTCTCTGGAACCCCACTAAACACTGGGCAATCTCAGATGACGTTTAGATGAAGATGGAACATGTCCCCTTTCCCCCCTTAGCTGGCATCCCACCCAAGGGGGTCCTGAAAATAGACAGTTACAAGGAGCTGAGCGGGCTGTGTCTCTTCTGCTCTGAGTTGTAACAACCCAGCACGTTTCAAGTGTTGAAGAAATAAGTGACGGTGGTGTACACAAGTGGTGGCCCGTTTCTCCGGTGATCCGGCCCTTGGTGCTCGACCTCCTGGCGACTAGCTTGCCTCTAAGAGCACGCCATCGTTCATGAAATACCTGTCAGTGTCTTCTCTGACCCCGTGTCTGTTTCCCTCAAGCCTTCTCCGCACAGCGTTCATGGCATCTACTGCAGTCCTGCAGATGGGAATCCTATCCTGCTCACGGCTGGCTCGGATATGAAAATAAGGTACACTGTCGTGTGAGGAGGACGAATTCATGGTCCTTGAGGAGAAGGATGACCCCTGTGAGTGGATACTGTTACTCCTTACCAGCATCATTGTCCTGTTGAACTAGTAACGTCTTACGAGGACAGCTGGTAATACTTTGTGCTGTTCTAGAAAAATCTCTCCTAGTGCAGAAGAAAATGAGCTCTTCTGTGTATGTGTGTGTGTTGAGTGTGTCGTGATCAGTGCCAGCTCACAGTCCCCGGCCCGCATTATCCTCAGAGGTTAATCTCCTTCTCCTCCTCCCCCCAGGTTCTGGGACCTGGCCTATCCGGAGCGGTCCTACGTTGTCGCCGGGAGTTCTGGTTCCCCATCCGTGTCGTACTACCGGAAGATAATTGAGGGCACCGAGGTTGTCCAGGTACAGCTGTCTCCTCGCCTTTATGGCCCGAGCATTGGGGTAGTTAGAATAGGTGGTGCTGGCCGGCGGTACAGTATTTCTTTGAGGTTAAGAAATATGTTTCTTCAGACCCTTCTGCCTTTTCACATGGACTTTTAGTAAGAAGTAATCACCAGAGCGCATTCGGCCTCTGTATTTCCATGATCCAGACACACGCATGACGCCAGATCAGAAGCAGGGCTCACAGCCTTCCAGGAGTCCTTCCCGCAGTCCTCTGGTCACTGCTGCCCGCCCCGTCCTGGGGTAACTGCTGTCTGCAGCAGCACAGGCTAATTTTGCCAGTGTTTGTGCTCGATGTAAATTGTACCCTGCAGCGTTTCCTCTTCACTGTGAGGCTTATTTTGATGATTACGGGGCTCATTTGTGTGATTCACTCTTACTGCTACATGTGGCTGTGACACACTCATTCTTACTGTATTCTGCTGCGTGAGGGGGTCACAGTGTATCGACCTGTCCTCCTGTTACTGGGTATTTGGGGGAGTTTTACGCTGTTGTGAATAGTATTGTCATGAGCATTGTAGAACGAACCTGTGTGTACAGTGAGACGTGTATGTGTATACGCGGAGATAACAGAAAAGGAGCCCTAGTGACCGAGTGAGTAAGGAGTTGTGCTGACACTTCAAAGGCTCATAGTTCAAATCCAGCTTCTCTGTGAGAGAAAGACAGGCAGTTGCCATTTACGGCCTCTGAACAGCCTCTGGAGGGTCCGCTGTGAGTCAGTTCTGGTTCAGCGGCCCTTGACTCTGTGTGTGTGCGTGTGTGTGTACATGAATGTGTATATATGTTTTTATATGTTGTTGTTACGTGCCCTGGAGTCACCTGGGACTCATAGCAGCCCTGTGCTCAACACCTCTGAACCCTGTCCCATCCTGAGCTGATCTCACTGTCTTGATACACCCACCCCATTGCTCCAGTGACTGTGTCAACCCATGTCATCCGGGGTCTTCCTCTATCTCGCTGTCTCCTATTTTATAGAGATGCGTGTGTGTGTGTGTGTACACACACTCATAAACACCCCACCCCCATCAGCTTGGTTTTGGTCATAGCGCGTGCCCCCAGCAGAACCTACGCCAGCCCGGCAGTTTCTGCGTGCACCATGCAGTGGTGTTGAGTAGGTTCTGGAAGTTGTACCCCTGACTCTCACCTTCATTTTCAGAGTTGTCGTCTCCTGATAATGTAAATCCACTGCTTCCTGAGTTTTCCGTCTCGTCCTTTGAAGTGCTATTGTGATTTTGATGCTCTGTAGACAGAACTTAATGCTCACTGCCAACATCCTTGAGTAGTCAAGCTGAAGTCGTTTGGTTTTAAGATGCTTTAAGAGATACTGTTGTTTAAGGTAAAAATTCTCAGGGCCAAGTGTTACGGACTGTCCAGCCACTGTGGCTCCAGGACCTAGATTTCAGGCTTTCAAATTCTGTTCTCAACTGCTCTCCCTTGGATTAGGGTTCTTTTGTTGAATCTTTGATCCAGCTGTTGAGGAGTGGTAGCTGGGCACCCTCCAGATTTGTGGCCTCAGGGCACAGAGGCACTTGCCCTGGAGGCTGTCCCCACACTCCGTGCCCTCCCCTGCTCCTGCCTCCCTCCTGTCTGACTGCAATAGGTGACCAGAGACACCAGATGGCCGTGCACAGGCTTGTAAGTGTAGCCACCGGGGAGGAAGGACAGGCCGTGCCGAGTTGGTGCAGTGTCGGGTCATTAACAGAGACGTCCCGTGATGCCACAGGACGTCTGTTGTTCTGTATGTTGCTGTTGATGCATTGGATCCCCCAGAATGGGTCAGCGTGGGTTGGCCGTGCTTGTCCTCTGTTTGGGGGACTAGTGTAATGGTTCTGTGCTGTAGGTCCTAACCTCTACGATGTTATTGTATAGAAGGAGTTTTCTTAATGGGGAACGATTCCGTTTACAGGTTTGGGCTATAGTTCGAGGCAGCCTCTTTTAGGTCCAAGACAGACGAAACAGGTGAGCAGAGCAGGAAGGGGCTTTAGAACCACCGAGGGGAAGGGCCAGGAGCAGAGGGGGCTCTCGGGAATGGAAGGCTTCTTCTACGCCCCTCCCCTCGACCCGGGAACTGATGGGTGCCGAGACATGGGGTGGGGGTCTCAGGGACTGCTGAGTGTGCAGATGCTGAAAGGAGAGCTTTCTCCAGCTCTGCGTCTTGTTACAGAGCCCGCACCCTGAGTTCAGACTTCTGGGGAGCTCTGGGGGTCTGCCAGGTTGGCCGCTAGCTGCACGGCCAGCTCACAAGTTGGCAGTTCAAATCCACCAGCAATTCTCAGGGAGAATGGTGGGCAGTCTCCTCCCATGAGATTGGCAGCCTCTGAAAAGCACTTGGAAGGTGAGCTGAGTCGGTTCTGACTCCATGGCAGTGGGTGTGAGTGGTTTTTTGAGCCTCCTAAGTGAAAAGATGATGTTTGCGAGCCTTCCAGTTATGGTTCTGTTACAGCAGTGTAGATAGCTAAGATGTATGTGCTCGTTTGTTTTAACTACTGCTGAAGGTGTTTTCTATAGGGGTTTTGCCTTTGATTTTCAGTTAGAGATTTGTTACCGTTTCATTCAAGGGCTTTATGTGAACACTCAACATTATTTAACGCTGCTGCAGCAGAAACAGCACAGCTGGGCGGCTTGACCGTAAACTTCTCTCACCGTTCGGGACACGGAGTGTTGTAGGGGACGGGACGCCTTGCTCCCTCGGCCAGGCCAGCCCTTCCCTCACGGCTCGGCTCCTGGCAGCCCTTGGAGGGTTGCGTGGGTTTTGACCTTGAATTGGCAGCACGCTCCTCACCTCCTAGGCCCCCAGAGCAACCTGGATCTCTATGTGGTTGTTCTTTATTTTTTTAAAGGAACCTATAGACGCTTTATTAAGGGGTCTCCTGGGTGGGATTCCTTGGTCTGCAGAGAGAAACAGGCAGCGGGACAGTCAGGGAAATACCACGCCCGGCAATGGATTAGGGCATGTTTCATAGTGAAGGTCTTTAGGGAGGGACGGGAGGGACAGTCCATTGTGGTTGAGCCAGGTGGGTGGTCATGTTGTTGTGAGCTGTCGGGTGAACCCTGTGAATAGCGGATCTGAGCCCTGCCCTGCCCTGTCTCTGACATGCTGGAGCCCTGGTTAACAGTCACTCCCAGGTCACCTTGTTGAGGCAGCAGCAATATTGACATGACAGGTGAATCACAGGATTTTCACTCCTGGCTTTCTCTTTGACTGTTAACTATCAAACAGGAAATTCAGAATAAGCAGAAAGTGGGGCCCAGTGACGACACGCCTCGGAGGGGCCCGGAGTCCCTGCCTGTGGGACACCATGACATCATAACGGACGTGGCCACGTTCCAGACGACCCAGGGCTTCATCGTCACTGCTTCCAGAGACGGGATCGTGAAGGTATGGAAGTAGAGCCCGCCCTGCTGGGGTGTGAATCCTCTGTGCCGCACGGGGGGTTGTTGCTGGAGAACACGAAGGCACGGATTCGGCCACTTAGAATTCAGAATCATGTCTGCGTATTGCCGATTCGCGGTGAGGGAAGCTGACTGGCCGACCTTGTGTGTCTCTGGAAGACTCTGGACCGCATGTGGTGGGATGAGCAGCCGCAGAGGTCAAGGCCTCTATGGTCTCAGACTCCTTTGTATGGAAGAAGGCGGTTGGAGAGAAGCTTGTAAACTATCATAATGTAAAAAATACTTAAAAAATATTCTTCAAACCAGCCAATAAACTGTATTCAAGCATCCTAAGACTTGTGGTTTTGTTGAGCGTGTTCTGTGAGAGTAAACATTCGTAGAGGAGTAGGCTCACAGCGGGCAGTGAGTGCTCGGAGATGAGGGCACGCAGCGGGTCAGGAGGAGTGAGCGCGTGACAGGCTGGGCGTTTCCTCACATGCTGTCGTCCCTCGTGCGTGGCCCCAGCCTGTCCCCTGGCCGTCCTCACATGCTG